CCGGTGAGTGGCGCGGCGAGGACGGACACAATTTTGCTCATCAAAGCTGGCTGTGATAGTCGATCTCTATGACAAACCAACTTTGATGGTAAAAGCATGTCCCTTGTCGTGAATCTTCCTGATCTTCTCCCCCGTAAGGGTATCTCCTGTTCCCCGTCTAACTCGTTCTGACACGCCGTCGCCCGCTTCTCCGCCGACATTTTCGCGGCATTCTCGCGCCGTCGACCAGTTTTTCACGGTACGACGGGCCCCCGCTAACTAATTTTTCCTCTCGAATCGCTCGGGAGCGTCGATGCGCAACGGACGCCGGATGAAAGACAAGATAGTGAGACGCGATAGCGTGAGAACATCTCACTACCCATGTCTTTCAGGCGGAATCCGTCCAAGAATGGGAAACTCGATACAATTGCGTTACGTCTCTTTATGTTTTCAAGATACTTAGATATACAAACGTTCATAATTGAAAATTGCCGCTTAAAAGTGTCCGATAACGTAACTACTGCAAGCGATAAACTCATCTTTCTGTGGTTTAAAACGAAAGTAACAACAAAGAAAATGAACAACATATTATAAAACGATTAATTCGCGAGATATTCGTCTCCTTTATCCCTCTGCGAACCCGCGAGCTATCAAATATTTTTAAGCAATAATTTACCTATTAGCAATGTAATGCGAAAAATAGTATCGCTCGAGCAGAGCCGGACGAATCAAGAATTCGTGACGCGAAAACGTTACGGCGTTTTCTCTCGAAGTTTTTCTATTTGCGCGACTTCCTACATACGCGCACGTTCATTAACCGACACGTCCAGAGTCTCGAGGAGACTTCGTAATAATCGCGGTATCAATGGGAACGTTGAATCGCGCGAACGAAAAAATAATATTGGAGGTGTTTCCCCGTCATTCTGTTCTGCTAACAGCTTCAACCCGGAAATCGGTTGCGACGCGATAAACACGAGGGGGGAGGAGATTACGGTATCTCTTCGGGATTGTTCGAAGGTTCTGTCGCCGCACGGAAGGAACGTGTCTAAACGGTACACGTTTTACAGACGGTTTATAATCCACACATTATAAACAGCACCTTTACGATTACCTATTTCGCGATCTTGTGCAAATCGGAAGGTTCTTTACCGTAAAAAAAGAATGTTCGATGTACAAGATGCGAGAAGAATATGAAAAAGCGAAAGATTAACAGTCTCCTTTAATCCACTCCCGGTAGTTGTCGGAATATTACAGTTACAAAATCATCGAAGTATTTCAGAAAACGGCACACGCGTAACAAGAGACGTGTTAACGTAGAAAAACAAGAGGAAAGAAATGAGAAAGCAAAGAATCAAGAAATGAAAACAGAAAAATGGAAACTTACGGCGATGCCCCAGTTAAGGAAATGGATGGACCTACAGTGGACGTCGATAACGGGGCAGATTTTGACCTCGATCGCGTTGTTGTCTAGAAGTCCCCTCTTTATTAGCACCAACACCGCTTCCTCGGCCGTGAGTCGTACCTGGCCATCGGGGGGAAAAAGGGAATTGGTCAATGGGACCTATAACTCTCGGCCGGCTTTTACGGTACTTCTTCGCCAGTGGAAACGATCCACCGCGGTTCCCCGGGGCCGGGAAGGCTGCCGAAAATCTTTCTGGATCGCCGGCTCCGAGATCACCGGCGAGATCGTTATCCGGGCAGAGACATGGCCGGGCCACGGCCCGTGTAACGAATACACAAATTATTCACCTGACTGTCCGAGTCCTGCAGGTATTTTATAACGAAGTTCAGCAGATGATCGTGGAAAACGTCGCCGAATAAATGCGGCGCCTCCTGGCAGATCGTCGCCACCTGTGGCACCTCTTTCACAAGACTGGACTGTATCCGGATATCTGGAATCACAAAGAAACCTCGATCTTCGGGTCCAATTTACAAGAATTATTAATTACGGTACACTCAGACCTGTCGCTGTAAATGCAAAGTATATCGGTAATTATGCCGGCTTGGCGATAATCGTGTGTAAATGCCGACCGTCGATCACGGTGTAGATTCTATTGGAAAGAATATTTTCAAATTAATGCTATTCGAATTTCATGGGTGAACGATCGAAATTCAGTCCGGCTGCTGAAGTATGGATTTCACGCGCTTCGTTGCACTTACGATGGACTTCTAAGACCACGCTGTCCGTGGATTTTATACAATTTATCTCGATCGTTTTTCTACATCGTCAATTACGTGCGATCACTGGCAATTTTCCGCGATTTTACGACGAACAATGGTCGACGGAATACCCGCGAGAGACCCGTGAATGCGAGGAGCCACTCGAATGGAGCCATAAGGTGAAAACTGTCGGCGTTCTAACAAGGAATCCGATCGTTTCTTTGCAACTCACGATCGAGAGGCCCCATTCGTGCGTCGAAAGCGAGAAAAACAGGAGGGCACGGGGCCGTGGAGGGGGGAGGGCGGTTCTCGTTTCTCGGTGTTTCCTTGACCTTGCCTCGTTTTTATTTCCGACCGAAACGGCGGGTAGCCGCTTTTCGTGGAAATACCTGAATGAAAAAGGGCGTCGCAAGCTGGCGCCCCTGCTGATTAGGAGAACTCGCACCTTCGGGCCTCGACACTCATAAAGAACCAGGATTTCTCGTGGGTCATTAGGGAAACGGCCCATCGGTCGACTACTTAACCGGACAGGTGCGGCATGGACCCGGTCGAGGACCACGTTGCGGAAATTACGTGTTTCCGGGCTCGAAATTTTCATTGCGACCCCACAAAGCAGTCGCAGTAATATTTAGAAGAACCAAGAAACAAAAAGAACTCTCACATACCAAAAGAACGGATCACCCTCTCTCGCTCGCCGCTTTATCTGCCAACAAGCGAGCAGTTTGGACGGACCACATGGCCATCTTCGGTGTCCACTCCAGGAACGTTTCACCCGCAAACCGAACACCTCCATCCCGCTAGTCGCGGAAAATGGAAAAGCTAACATTCCCGAACGCGTAACTCGACGTTACCTAACCGAACGCGACGATTCCGGGTAACGGGAACGCGGGAAAACTGGTGACGCCGACTCACGTGGCGTCGGAGTGCTTCGAGATTCAGTGAAGTACTGCGAAATGAAGAAATTCCAGTCGCCGCCCCGAGGGAACACTCGCGACTGTCGCGAACGCGAGGGAAATGCAGGCGACACTTTCGACGACGACGGAAAATCGGATTCCCGCTTGAAATTGTTAGGACACAATCGAGCGGAGGACACCGAAACGAAGGAGCTCGTCACCAGCGGAGAGCGTGGGTGCGACTGAGGGACGATGATTTCTCGGTCGCGGGAAACGCATCTTCCCGGTTCGTCGGACTTTTCCAGCTGCGTGGAATGGAGGGGGTAGAGCGGCCGGAAAGGGTAGGGGGGCCTGCCGACAAAACGGGGCTCGTCCCTTTTCGGCTGCTTTCGCGCGCCCTTCGTGGGCCCCACGGCCGAAGCACGTGCTCGCTTTTCCCTCCTCTACTTCCCTGCACCCCGCCGCCCTTAGAGCAGCGTTTCCCGTTTCGTTGGGACTTCCATGATCCGTTCTTCCTCCGTTTCCTACGTCGGTTCCCGCTCTCCCCCCTGTGTCGCTTCCCTTCCCTCCTCGAGGCGAGATGAAGAAACCCCGCGCACGCCGCTCATCGTCTCTGTCGTTCGTTCCCTCCCCCACCCTTTTTCCCGGACGCAGCCCCCGGTGTCCATTAATCACGCACCGAGTCTTATCTTCTCCGCCTACTCCCGTCTTTGCGCGCCTTCTGTCCCGGACAAGATCCCGCCAAAAATATCCCGCTGCGCTCCTTCAGGATTAAGCGTCACCGATTATTTTCCTGGTATTTTCTTCGTCCCCCTCACGCTGCTTTTCGTTCACCTTCGACAGGCCTGCCGCTCGGTGACGTGTGTTTAGCGACGCTCATCTTTTCCTTCTCCCTTCGGGGCGTTTTTCGGAATCGATGTATTCCGCACTGAGAATTTTCGGAGCACCGAGTGTGCTGGAAGTAATTCAATTTGAGGGGCTTCGAAGAGACGAACCGAGTTACATCGCTGGATTACATAAGTAATTAATCTCGTTAAAAAGCTGGCTGTTCCTCGAATTCGTCGTTACGACAGGAACGTAATATTGTCCAATAATTAGAAGAGGTAATGGGCAGTAGGAGATTCTAAGAGGGTTTACTACGACATTCGAAATCTGGGACCCCGTGACTGGAACGATTACTCGATTGAAGACGATATATGCGGGCACTATTTCGTAGAATCATCGACAGATCTGCAACAAACTCCAAAGCAGTTCCTAAAAAATTTTTGCTCTATTCCAACCAAATATCACAACATTTTATATTGTACGAAATATATCAGAAGAAGATTGAATCTACGAAACTCCATCGACCGAATGTCGCAAGCTGCGTTTCTTCATCCTTCCCAACAAAAAGGGAAACGCACCCGCGTCGAATCGTCACACCGGGCTTCCGAATATCCTTCTGCACATGGCAAAGAAAAGTCGAAAGGAAGAAAGGCGGGTGGTGGCAGTCGTCTGAAGAGTCAACGCAACTGGCGTCCTCGCCGTCGAAGGGAAAAGGGCGCGCACCGCGACCCTCTTTCGTAGGAAACCGGCGTATCCAAAAATACGTGAACGCGTGGTGAAAAGCGCGCGTGTGTCGCGTGCCCCGAGTCCTGAATTCTCCGGTTGCATCCCCGTTCCCCTGTCCCGCACGCCCCTCGCTGAGATGCGTTTCGATCTATCCAGGGAAAAACACCGATGGCGGCACGTGTTCCGTTGGCAAGATGTTTCCATGTGGATAATGCCCCCAAAAATAGCCGGCCGGTGTGGCACTCGCCCGGATCATGGACGATCGGGGTGCACCACCTTTTAGCTCGACAGTTGCATCCCTCTAAAGACGCGCGATGCCTTACAGGAAGCGCTCTCTAAACACCGAAAGACGTAGGACAAACATTTTGTAGGTTGCTGCACTGGAAAATGTCGATCAAAGTTCCCCAATTACACTATTCCGTAAATTTCCGTGGATTTCTGAATCGACGAGAGATAAATGATAAATATTGTTAATCGCGTGGGAAAGTGATCGTGCTGCGACAAATAGTAAAATTCTGTGAAGCCTGTAAAATTCGATCCTCAATATTTCACGCGACATCGTTCCGTTTTTGATTTCTTTCGATTTCTGGTTGATAACTTGAAAACATTCAATTGAATTTTATCGGGAAAGATTGTAACGCCGAAACGCCAAAGAAAAAGAGGAATCCGAAATTTTTCAATCGCAGCGTCTCGATTCAGTATTATTAATCACGCGGCGTTGTTCTGTATCTTTTCAACTTATCGCGGTTCCATTGCATACAATTATCATAACGTAACGCATTAATATTTCCGCCGTGGCAGTATCAACAGCGTACAAAACTGAAATCCGAATTTATGGGCACGACCTAATATTTTCACCCTACCAGGCCGCCAATGGTCGGAGCCGGTTAGTTCACGACGGTGAACGATCGATGGCGTTTATTTGCAATTCGTACGATTCCCTTTTGTGGCCACGGCCTCCCGTATTAAGAGCGGGAAAATAAAGGGGACACGGTGGTTGTTGTTGTCTCGCAGGACCGTGGAGGCGGAGGGACAGAGAGAAGCGCGGGCAGACCGCAGCGGCGCAAGGTCTTAAAGTATTTTCGAAGACTCCTGAAAAGAAAGGAGCCATTAGTGGGATGAAAACGCAGTGGCGCGTCGTTCGCCACGTTTCCCCGAAGCGGACCAGGTAAAAAGAAAACGTTTTTCGCGGAAGGATCGCTCTCACCACGGACCCCTCGGTCCCGCGCCACCGACGATGCAGCTTTTTCAAAGGTTCGGCGACCACGAGGGCGACGTTTCACGTTAGATACTCATCGACAGAACTTTGTTGGATGACCTTTGAACACGATTTTCCAGTTCTGCGAAACACGACCGACACCGACGCATCTCTTTTCCCTCTGTCTCCCCGACTTCCGCGAACGGCAGCCTCACGATTTTTCAAACGGCTCACGCGTCTCTATGCAAACGTTCAGGTTAATTGTTAACGAAGAATTCGGGCCCTCTCCCGGAAACGATGAATACCGCTCGTCAACAGCCGACAGCGTGTTCTTTAATTAAACATTGAATGGGCAAGAAAGGAAGCAGCCGTGAATAAATATTCTATATCAAAGGTACTTTCTTATAATTAAACGGAGCAATGTATATTTATGAGTTCTAGGAGACCGCGGCGACATTTACCTAACGACTCGATGGGTTCCTGTCGTTTGAAACTATTAGCTCGGCGAGGAAACCTTTGTAACCGTTGCATTGTAATGACAATTATTAAATATTGTTGGTATCGTTATCACTGAAGAGTATGATTCGACTTCGAAGGATTGCAGCTCATCTGGAGTTAATGAAATTACCCTACCGATTGTAGTATTTAACCTTCTAAGTTTTAAGAGATTCTTGAAACTTTCGAGCGGCTTCGTGACTACCGAGAAGTTTTTATATAACGTGACCTTTTCGTTGCGCGCTTAAGAGTCTATTTTATTTTGAATTCCTCCGAGTGGGGCGGATGAAAAAGTAAACGGTGTTACGCGAGTTCGTATAAATACTTCGGAACATACACGGAAGCCACGAGAGACTTCCGGCGAGGCACGTGCTGCACCGGAAGCGGAGACAATCTTATCGTCACCTCGTGGAGCAACAGCCTAGTCTGCAACCCCGACCGGCTTCATCATTTACCCCTCCGTAACACGGACGTTCTGTCTTCGCTCAAGGACCGAGTTCTGTCCTATCCCTCCCTATTTTTAAACATCTTCCGCTTACGCGTTTCTCGTTCGGGGGAAATAGAACCAAATGGGCGGAAAAACAAATGGCGAGCCGCCTAAAAAGGAATTTTCCCCGGAAATTGCTTCCCGGACGAATTTTTAAGCAGAAAGGCAAGGTGAAGCGAACGTTCCGTGTCAGAAGATGCGAAAAAGAAACCTTACAATATTCAACGTTTAATTCGAATTCTCTAGAATGACTGCAGTCTTTGGAAAATCTTAATGTGCAATGGAAAACATTTATCGGAATTGTTTCTATTTGGGGAACGATGAAGGTGTGGTACGATTAAGAATGGTGCAACGATCGATGGTTCAAGTGTCGTGGCAACGTGCAATTTATCAGTCTTCTCGTTGCCGGCATAACTGAGATTTTGTGCAAACCGGAGACTTGTGAAGTAATAGGCGAGAAACATCGTTTTAATTTGTATTTGCCGATCATTTCAAGTTTCTTACATCTTAAAATACTATTTTGCAGAAAAGAGTTCAGTTTCATATACTTAAACTGACCGTGCATTTCTTTCTATGCGCATTCATTAATGTTAAAATTATTTACAAGTTGTGATTATAAGTGCATTTTGTGCTAGTTAGAAGTAATGGGAAACGCAAATGGGACAATAAGCGTAAATTAAAGCTGCGACTTACAATACAAAGCATGCGTGCACGGTGTACAAAGGATTTGGCTCAGAAGTATTTCCAACCCTTTCGAATCACGCGTTTTGAAACAAAAAAATTCTTGCCAGCTACACAATAAATGTAGGTTACAGTGTTCGAAATTATAGACGTGCTGATGCTTAAAAATCGGTGAATTACATGAAGCTTTTCAAAATGAAATAAAAAAACCAGCTAAAGCGTTTCCCAGATATTTGGTAAAGTAATATCATTTTTGAGAAATTATATACATGGAACTGTCAAAGAATTAAACTGCTGAATAAACGATGCGAAAGAAATATAAAATGTTAGAGGATGCTGTAGAAATGAACAAACGCACGAAATCATTCGTTTTTCTAAGCATCAAACAATTGCTCAAAGAGATGAAATATTTTACAACGTAACTGTAGAACTTACCGGTACCTTCGACGATTTTCTGTACCGACTGCATGATCTCGTCGACGTTAATGCTCGTTTCATTGTTAATGGCAGTACGAAATATTGTCAACAGTATCTTCCCGATATTTTGTCTGTAACAAACAATAATAAAACCTGGTTAGCAAAGTAATATATGATTACAAATGAAATTATCATTGTCTCCGTCCCCAATGTGCTCAAATGCAGAGTGATTCGCTCAAACCTCGCGAAACAAGATCGCAATCGGTAATTGAGCGCAAAGAATACAAAAACGGATGATCACGAATTTACGAGGCGATGCTCTTTCCATGGATCTCGTGGCAAATAAATCCAAGAATGTGGAGCCGCGATATTACCCGAAAGACGCATCTTGAAAAAGTGTAAAGCGAGGAACGCAGCGTAGCGAAAGACGAAAGTTGAGTTGGTATGGAGGAAGTGGGGAAGGTTTACCCAAGGAAAATTACATTTTCTCGGCGGAATCGCCGCGAATGCAAATACCAGAGCGGGACGATAATTAACGGCGACCGTAAGAGAACGCGGGAGTGGGCAGAAGTAGTCGAGGATAGAACTTTTAACAAGGAGCGCGGCGAGGATCGGTCGCGCGCGCCCTCGAAATTCCGGAGATCGGCGAACTTCCGTCCCAACCGGCCGGTTTTCCTAGCTAATTTCGCGCTGAAGTTCCAGCCAGGGTCCAAGAAGAAGAACAGAAAGAAGGAGAAGAAGTTCTCCGCGCCGGACTTCGTCGAATCTTAACGATCGGGCGGAACGTGCGAGCGCAATCAGGTCTAGCCGAGGATACTCGAAAGGGAGCGGGCGTCAGTGGTTGTCAGTCGGCCATCGAGGCGGCAGGCTGCCGGCTTCGAACGTAGGCAGCGGTCCTCGAGGAATCGACCACGAAGAACAGTAAAAAAAGAAACGGAACAATAAAAAGAAAAAGGCCGTTTGGCCTCGCGAAGACTTCCCTCCCCACCTCTGTCGCGCGTTCAGTATGGTGGTGGTAAGGCTACCCTCTCCAGACTATGGTGCGTGAACGGATGGATACGCTACGATCAACTTCGGAGGGAGGGGGATGAAGAGAGTCGGCAGGCTACGACGAGCCTCGTCGTATCGGGGATACACACCGGTGTGTGGCATGGAGAGGAAGAGAGACCCGAAGAGAGAAAGAGAGACGGAAAGACACACGGAGAATGGGATGAGTGGACGGGCAAGCGAGCGGGCGGAGGAGTGAGGGGAGGGGAGAGGCGAGGCAGCGGTGGGGGGCAGAACTGGCACCAACGGAAGATCGTTTGCGGTACCCCACCAGAAGTTTACCAGACGATCGCCGGTGGGGGTAGGCCGTTCTCCAAAGTCGTTGGAGAACGGGCAGAGGGATGGTACCGCCCGTGAACGCCTACTGTGCCGGCGCAAACATGGCCGCCGCCGGCGGCATCGTCGACGACGGTCGCAAGACCACGAGGACCGACGACGACACCGCGCCGCTCCCGTATCTCCGACGCGCTTTTCTTCGACGACGACTTTAGCTGATGGAATCGAGCGATGGATCTTGATCAAATACATGCGCTTGGGTTCCGCGAACAGGATGCGGCTTCGAGAGCCGCCGATGGGAAGACGCTGGGCGAAAAGCACACCCCTCGCGGCGGGCCAAAATTGAAGTCGAGCCCGGGTAACTTCGCGGCGGTGCGCATGTTCGTGCTTCAGGATGGCTCGTAAGATCGATAGGGAAGACGGCGGTTTCGTGACCGGCGGGCTTCCGCGGGCGGTGGTTTCGATTTTAGGGGAAAGTCGATTTGCCGGGGGGATTGCTCGGAATAATGGAACTCCGGGACTGCGGCACCGCTAGGGGTGTTTACGGCCGACTTCAGCCCTTAACTTTCTCTCGCTCCGATTTCGCATCGTATCTCTTTGCTGGACGATCCAGGGAACGTATTCGACGTTCATCGATACGAAACACCGCTGTCTCGAAGAAAAATGTATCGGCACAATTTCGGGCGAAACCTTGGATGGCATGTCGCTTCGACTCGAGGATTGACGCTTCCGAAGTTTCTAGTTTTCCGTGAAGTTGTCATCTTCCTGGTAAAAATGAATTGATAACGAAGCTCCCCTTGGAACGGCTCCAACGTGTTTTCAGTTCGAAATAGTCCGCTAATTAATCAAATTGATCGGGCCGCGTAAAAATCCACGATATTGGACCACGTCGAGGTTGGTCCCGTTCTCATTATCGATATTAAAGCCGTGGCTCCATTAATGGAGTCGCCAGTTATTTCGACAATAACGGGCTACGTTTTACGAGATCACGTAACTGCGGTGCGCCTCTCGCAGCCCGAACAGCCGTGAACGAGCTCCGAAATTTCATTAGCCCTTGGACGAGCCACAGACGGAAGTGGGAAATAGTCGAGTCGAACTCTTTACGAGTGAACATGAAAACGCCGGAAAATCTACGCAGAAGATATATCGCGTCTTCGGCGTCGCGTGCAGGCTCCACGGATACATTGTATTCGAGTCGCGTGTGCGCATCACGTATCCCGGTTCAACGAGGAAAAGTGGATTTGCCGGTCGTTTCCGTGGACCTAATGCCGCGACGAGGAGACAGAAAGCGATAAAAGTGGATATCGTTGACGGAATACCCTTGACTTGTCGCCGCAAAAGCTGTTCCCGGCACCAAGTAGCTTATTACTCGAATGGCCGCCATCATTAATTAACGCGATGAAGAGCTTTGGGTTAAATGAAAGGAGAGCATCTTTGTATGTTACAAGGGACAATTGAAAGGATTTTCGAAAGCTTTCGCGCCTACTTTTCGATCAGAATAAATCTATTATACGATGAAATAAGTGATATTCGTTAAAATTCAGGTTTTATTCGCGGAAGGATGATCGTCAATTTTTCAAATTTAGGTATAAAGAATATTTTCTGCTCCACGAGAAATCGTGAACACTCGATGTTCTATCTTAAATCAACTCAACTCAGATAATGCCGAGTAATTCATTGCAATAAAGCCGAAACGATGATGCCATGAATGAACGTAACATAGTGATAAATACGTGTTCGCTGTGACCCTTAACCCCCCTAACGCGCGAACTTCGATTGCCGCTCTATAAGAGCATTAAAATATTTCTATCAGAAAATTCGAACTCCGCGATTCGTAAGAAATTCTACGGTATAATTACGGTGTTTTCATTGAAAGTATTTATACTGTACAACAGACTGCTATACGTAGAACTTTTAATTACTTTAAGACGTAGAGCAACGTACACGCCTCCGGCAATATTACAGCAGCTATTACAACAATAAGGATGCGTTAACAGGAAAATTAATATCTCGAAACATTTAATTCAATTTCGGTAAGAAAAGTTAGAGCAAAATTCTCTTCCATAAAAGTTTACAAACATTAATCGATCTTATTATTATTATTACTCATGCATCGTTCCTTCACTTTTACAAAGAAAAATATCTTACTCGTTTAAGAGTGATACGGTGGCAGTGATTGTATCGAGGTTGTATAATTCCCATCGATCATCAATTGTACGAAGCCAATACCCGCTGGTTCGCAGAATAAACGCAGCCACGATCGACCACGGTACATCGTTCGACAAAGTTTACCGCGGCAGGGACAAGTTGACTGCGCTTTCCAGCTACCGGAAGCCAGCTGTTATCTCAAGAAGCAAGCCGGCACCGAACGACAAAGGCTCGTCTCGACCTCGTCTTTGACACGAACGACCTACATTCAACGTGTGGAGGCGATGGCAGAATCGGTGGCGCGCATTGAACACGCGGTCCCGTGTTTTTCGAAAAATCACGAAGAATAAGCTGGGAAAACGCAAGTCACCTGGAACGGTGACTAATATCAACACTGGAGGGTTACCAAAACCACTCCTCAGTGTATTTTCTATAATGACCTGAAAATTATTATTTACTAATTTGTCAACATCTACCTCGGAAGTCATTTACTACCGAAGTCTTTTAATGATCGCTCAGCAATAAAAGAAGGAAAGGGAACGAGTCCTTGTTACGCGTCAATACCACCCAAATATAATAAACATTACGCAAATACGCCCGTCCACAGAATTCCTGAATGCGATACCCCTAAAGCCGCGAACAATGAAATTCTTACGACGGGTCAAACTGTCCTGGCATTCAACGGCCGCGGAGGTTAATACGCACCGGAAACCGAATAAATTGCCGTTTCCACCCCCTTTGGCGTGCCTGTCATCGTCGCGCGACCGATCGTTTGTCTGGCAATTTTTCTCAAGGAGGCGAATTCACCGGGACAAGATATATTCCCATGGGTCCCAAAAGCCGCCCCTTCGACGTATCTCCTAGTCCGACCCTTAGGGCCCGTTCTATTGGGAAGAAGGTAGCCGACAACAGGCTGGAAGCCAGTCGAAACTTGCGCCTAGGTACCGGCTTCCACGTACGGGACTTTCCACGTTGCTCTTCTTCACACGGTTCTTCCCCACCCCTTGGATTTGTTCGGCCACCCCATTTATACAGGTCTCGGCTTCCGGAATCCTCCCTTCCTCTTTCGACTCGGCCACTGTTTCATCGCAACGCGAATTACGTTAAACGAATCGACTCGAACGAGAAGCTCAAGAGGGACAACAGGATACGAAGCTCACCAGGAAAATTCCCTATAGTCATGGTACTGAAAGCCGATACAGGTTTAGCGCGCGGCTTCGATACTCCTTTCGAGAAAACTTCATCCCGCAGAAGCCGCAAAAGGAAATCGGCAACAGGCCGAAGCCTCGCAAGCTCTTGATTCTTGGAACCGTTTATCGCTGGGGTGAACGATCAGTATTTTTTTCCCTCTTGAGGTTTAATGTAATGGGAAACTTGTGAACGATTAAAGAAAACTCGATAAGTAAGTTACCTTTGGAAGAAATATAAACGAAAAATTCATTTGTACCGTTAACATTCGAAGGACTATCGATCTTCGCGTAATCATGACACGTGGAAGAAAATAAAATAAAAGGAGAAGTATCTCTTTTTATTGTTACTACAAAGAATCTTCTGATCGTCGAGATAAATTTTATAAATGAATTTTTATAAAACAATCCACGAAACTAGAAATCTGTACGAAGATCCGCAGCCAGCAATCTCAAAGAAGCTTGGGGTGTAGCGTACGCATCGACTCACCCTCGTGAATTCAAGAATAGAACCTTTCCTCTAAATAGATGAAGATTATCTTGCGCCGGTTGGGGGAAAAGCTGGAAAATTCGTGACGACGAGGGACACGGGAAATCTGGTCCCGGCGCTCCGTAATTTAGGGGAGCCACGGCTGGCCAGGTGCGCGCGTCTCGTCAGATGCGGATAACGGGAGGACAGACGTAGAAAAATGACGGGAAAAGAAACAAAAAAATGGGAAAAAAAGGAAA